GAGAATATGGTGGCCCTAGTGGCTTTTTGGGGAGCATTGTACCTCCACACCGCTCCAACGGAGACGTACTTCCCCTCAAAAGGAAGGAACTTCGGTAACACATCCTCGTCTTCATCGGCTCCACTCTTGGTTATCTCATACCTTTACTTGTGCAAGCTTATTTGTGTTATTTATCTTGCTTGCTTGTGTGCTTGTTGTTGTTGCATCATATAGGTTGCTCACATAGTTGCATGTCTAGACAACCTACTTTGATGCAAAGTTTAATTTGGTAAAGAAAAGTTAGAAATTGTTAGTTGCCTATTCACGCCCCCCTCTAGTCAACTATATCGATCCTTTCAATTGGTATCAGAGCCTCGTCTCTTCACTAAGGACTTTGTCGTCCGAAGAGTTTGGTTGACACCGTAGATGCTGTGGAGGAGCACTCCGGTGTGAATCCAATCTCGTCTACGGGTGATAGGGGAACCGCGGCCTCTCATGAGGAATTCAATGTGGCTTTGGAAACATTGAAAACCTCCATGACGACCGAGGTTGAAAGCATGTTTAATAAATTCATAGAAGGGCTTAAACTTTCCACCGCACCGTTGAAAGTGAGTGATCCCACTAACAAGGTGACGGATGCTAACTCCGACAAGGGGAAAGCTACGAGTGAAAAGGCTCCTTCTAGTGGTAAAAATGGCACCGACATCTTTGCCCATGTGGAACCTCCACTTGTTTATGGTGGACCGATTCCTTCCACTCATTTGAATCATGTCGGTCCTCCCCCTAAGATTGTGAAAAATGAGGACTTTGAATCTTGGGTCTATCGTTTCAAGCGTCATTTAAATCATGTGAATACTAATCTTTGGAGAATCAATCAAGAAGGTTTCTATCCGCATGACCAAAGAAACTTCACGCCTAGAGAAGCCACGGATAATCAATTCAATGAGAATGCTCTCTTCATCATCCAAGATGCAATTCCACCCGAAGATCTTCCTCACCTTTGGCCCTTAGCCATGGCCAAAGATGCATGGCACCAAGTTGTTTCCCTCTACAGGGGAAGAGCAAGCATTCAACGCTCCAACTATGAAGTGGTGCAAGATGAAGCCGATGAGTTTGCAATGAAAGAAGATGGAGAACCTCGTGAGCTTTATCGGAGAGTAACCGAACTCGCGGTCTCACTCCGAGATCATGGGAGCAAGGATATGGATGACAATTGGATCAAGCACAAATTCCTCAAGGCAATGATGCCTTACCACAAGGCCATGTCCTCCGTCATTCGTCAAAGGCCGGACTTCCACACCTTTCCTCAAGTGAAGTGTTGGATGAGTTTGTGGCTATGAGCATCTTGGACAAAACCGCCGACAATGCGGTGCTATGTTCTCAAAGAGCAAAGAAGCCCAACCTTGCGTTAAAGGCCAAGGTGAGGGTGGAAGAAGAGGACGAAGAGGAAGAAGAGGAGAGCAACCCCGAAGATACAAAGTATGCCTATCATGGACACATGGCTCTTGCTTCAAGGCAATTTTGGAGCAAGAAGAACTCAAGGCCCAACTTCAACAAGAAGAACTCAAGTGGCACGAAGGTCAAGCAACGTATGAGGACTTGCTATAATTGTGGCAATGTGAGTCATTTCATTGCGGAATGACCTTATGAGAAGAGGGAAGACAATGATGGCAAGCTCATCCGAAAGGACAAAGTCAAGTCTTTCCCCAACAAGAGCAACTTCACCAAGAAGACTCCTCCCAAGGCGTTGGTGGTACAAGAAGAGTACAATGAGGATGATGATGATGATGAAGATGGTGAGTCGGTTGCCATGGCCTCCGTTGCCATTGCGACAACTCCACGGGTGTCACTCTTTGACTCACCCAATGAGAACATCACCGCCAAGTGCCTCATGGCTAAAGCCACCAATAAGGTAACCCCAACATCAAAACTACCATCATTAATAATCCTTCTTTGACAGATTGCATTGATGAATATGAGGGATCTAATGTGGAGTAGAATGAGTTTGAGTCCTTTATGGGTAAACTCAAGGGTAAATCCAAGAAGCATTTCGTTGCTCTCTTGGAACAACTTGGTGAAGCCAATGACATGATCGAGGCTCACAAAAATACTATCTTCAAGATGGAGGGGCATAGTCGTGACTATGCCGATGAGATTTCGGATCTTTCCAATATTCTTGAGGAAGGGCGTGGTCTTCGTTTGGCTCTTGAGGAGTCACACAACGTTGATCACACTAAGTTAAAGAAATATTTTGATCATGCTCTTATTGTTTCTCGTGTGCTAAACTCCGAGAAGGCCAAGCTCGGGGTTGATCTTGCTAGACTCAAAGAGGAGTTTGACTTACTTGACAAGGCTCACAAGGTCTTGAAGGGTGCTCATGCTAGCCTCAAAGAGTCTCATGACCAACTTCAAGTAAAGCTAACCAAGGAGAAAGCCATTTTTCCTCGTATTATGTTAATTCTTGTTGTAGGTAAAGCGAGCGTTAAGCGTACGTAGAGTTCTATCGGTGGTCGATAGAACTTGAGGTAATATTTGTTCTACCTTTAGCTCCTCGTTGGGTTCGATACTCTTACTTATCAAAAGAGGCTAGAATTGATCCCCTATACTTGTGGGTTATCACACGCTAGGGTGTACTTCTCGCTCACCAACAACCCGCCGCCTTTCACGTACATCTTTCTTGTACCTGCTCATCGTTGCACCAGCGGTGCCAACAATATTCACGATTTTGTAAAATGTTTGTGGATTCAAAAAATATTCGTGATTTTGTAAAAAGTTTGCTTATTCAAAAAATGTTCGTCATTTTGAAAACAAATGTTCAGAAAATCAAAAAATGTTCATGACTTTCTAAAAAGTTCATGTACTAAAAAATGTTAATGAAATTGGTCAAAATTTTGCCAATTCAAAAAATGTTCATGAATGGAAAATTATCCTAAAAATTCAAAAACTGCCCATGACTTACAAAATAGTTTATTCACTCATAAAATGTTCGCTGATTCAAAAAATGATCATGCATTTCAAAAATTGTTCTTTAAATATAAAAATGTTCATTAAATAAAAAATGATCATGAATTTAAAAAATGGTTCCACCAATTTCCAAAAAGATGTTCGTCGGTTCTGGAAATGTTTGTCGATTCAAGAGAATTGTTTTAAAATATGTTCACAATTTTAAAAAATACTTTCAAATATTATAAAATATTCATGAATTCAAATAATGTTCTTGATCTTAGAAAATGTTCAAAAATTTGTAAAATAGCTTACGAATTTCAAAAATGTTCATGATTTCAAATACGTGCACGGGTTTAAAAAATGTTTATGATTTAACGAAATAGAGAGTTATAGTGTGTCTCAGTGATGCAGCAAAATATGGTCATGGCCATTGGAGATTATAATTTTTATTTCCCGTTGCAACGTACGGGCTCTTTTGCTAAAATACAAAATTGAAA